AAGAAGTTGCTTCTAATGAATGAAAAAAGGAAGTGGCTTCTTGAAATGGCCTCTACTCCTGGTAAAGATGACAACAAAGGATTTAGAATATTTCATAAATTTAGCTGATAAAGCAGAAAGAAGGTTTGAGAGGATTTACTTCAATTTTGAACAAAGTGGGTAAAAAAAAAGTTGATCCATGCAGCAAATGCCATTGTTATCTTAAAATAACAATGGCACCCCAATCTTTAGCAACCACCACCTTGCTCAGTCAGCAACAATCAACATCAAGGCAAGACCATTCACCCTGTGGGTCGCGACCCCTTTGGGGGTCGAACAACCCTTTCACAGGGGTCACCTAAAACCATCCTGCATATCAGATATTTACATTACGATTCATAACAGTAGCAACATTACAGTTATGAAGTAGCAACGAAAATAATTTTATGGTTGGGGGTCACAACATGAGGAACTGTATTTAAAGGGCCAGAAGGTTGAGAACCACTGCACCAGCAGAAAGATAATCTCTCACAGAAGGTTCAGATGATGGTTAGTATTTTTTAGCAATAAAGTATTTTAATTAAAGTATGTGCATTTTTAAGGCATAATATTGCATACATCTCTTTAGGGTAAACATAACTTGAACAAAAAAAAATGTGTGACTCCCTTTATGGAGATAGTCTCATTATTGTGGTGATCTGAAATGGAACCTGAAGTATCTCCAAAGAATGTCTCAACAGGTCTTCTCCCTCTATGCTTCTTCAGCTCTGTTTTTAACTCTATCATAGGGTTTATCACCCTGATTTATACATTATGAAATCCTATGGGAAAAGGTTATGTGTTTATGTGTTTTCATCTTTGAACAATTTGACTTTCACACCATGAATTCCTTAGAGATTGCTCCTTGAAAAAAAATTTAAATTTCACCAGTTAGCAAAGTCATTACCTAGGTATATTTATATTTTCGTTTTAATTGTATCAATTCAATAGACCTCAGTAATTGTCAATTATGATATTTCTTGACTTAGATATAAACAACCTGAATCATTTTCAACTAATGTTTCCTTCATTTAAATTCTGTTAATTTTATATTTATTTAAAGTATTTATTTTAATGCTTTTAATAGACTTTAATTAGTATTTTGTGCCTTTATAACCATGTGAAAAATCAACACTTCAAAAATACATATTACATTATTAAATAATACACTAATTGACATATATATTGAAAAACTATAGGTTTCATAGTCTTGGTAAATATTGGTAATGATTTTTATGTCACATTGACTGGTTTTAGACTCATAACATTTTTATTTGAAAACATAAAGAAACATCATTTTAAAAGTTGTCCTCATCTATGAAAATAGTTTCCTTCTGGATGGTAAATCCATATAGTACTGAGAGTAAAAGGTGAGGATAGGAGATCAAAATATATAAGATTTTGACCTCGATTGGTATGATTCAAAATGTTTTTTTAAGTATATGTTGAATTGAAGAGGGACAGTTCCAAAGATATATAAAGTCCTTAGAGAATCTTCTGGTATGATTTTAAAACATTTTATAATCTAGTATAACACTTGAACTTCCTAACCAAGACAGGTGAGAAGTAGAATTTTATGCTCCTTATGAGCACGATTTCCTGACATCTCTCTAACATGTCTTAGGGCACACTGACGTGGATGGCATCACACTAATGATCATCAACAGAAAGCTTAGCACTGTTCTGGAACCAGTGTAACAATGTGTGCTTGAAGAGGTTGTCTGCATTTCTAAATGTAAATTTTACAGAAGAGCAAACACTTTGTTTGAACTACATCATCTGTCAGATTGCCCAAGGCTCAGAAGTTAGAGAAGCTCTAGTGCTGGCTGCATATGGATAAGCTACCTATTAGTTTGTTTTCTTTGTTTTTAGTAGGAGAAAACAAAAAGATGGAATCCATAATATATGTTCTAATATTTTTTATATTGTAAATAAAGATGCTTGAAAAAGGCCCTCGAGCAGAATAAATGTGTTTATATTCTTTTGTACAACTAGATATGACATACAATGTATCTTATGTAGCAGTGGATCACTTTTATACTCTCCTGACATAAATTCTTAAGGAACACAAAATCTTCACTGCTTTTAGACTCTACTTAATTTTGGTAAGGTCCTTTGTTTAATTAAATTAATAACGCTTGAAAATAATATATTTTTCAAATATAGCTTCAATTTACTATGTTAGAACAAAATTTGGCTTAAACATTACTTGAGTCAATTATCAGATCATTTAAAAATTCAGGAGTTTGACTTTATTTGAGAACATGCTTTAATGTACTTTAAATATAATACTGTATGTGAGTCATTGTTCCAAAAAAGCATTCTCATCTTTCTCTCCAGGGTATTAATCCTCAGATATTGGTGTCTAAATTTTCTTTCCTGTAAGAGGAAGTGTGTACTTTCTGATAGATAGATAGATAGATAGATAGATAGGAAATATATATATATATGGTATATGTATGTAAATATACATAGTATATGTATGTAAATACACATAGTATATGTACAAATGCACATATGTATATATATGTATTTCATATATACATATGTATATTAAAGCATTCATCTTGCCATTTAATTTTGCATGTTTATATGATGAGATAATTACAAGTAGAGAGAAAAACAAATATAAACAAAGGATATATTGAAATTAACTTTACAGCAATGTGACAAAACTGTAAATTCATTTTGAGAGAGAAAAGAACTCCTCCAGACAGCCTACACAGCAACCCTGAGTAATGGGCTTATTATTTTATGAGGCTAGAAGTCTAGGTCATTACAGATTTTAGAAGGAAATGTGACAATATCAAGCTCTTAAAAATGTAGCAACATAGTTATATTTTACAGATATTATTTTACATGACATGGTTCCAATTTTTGGCCATGTATTGATAATCTTAACTCTTTGTATACTACCATGTTGTAATCAACATTGGAGACATCATCTTCAATTATGGAGGACCAACATTTTTAAAATATGAAATATATCTGTACATTTTTGTGCATTCTGAACACTAGTTAGTGATTGATAGTGCTTCTAGGATGGCATTGCGAGTCATGAGTGGAATTAAGTCTTTTCCCTTCAACAAAATCCTTCCTAGGAAGGTAAAGGCTGTGTAAAAAAGTGAAAACACTGAGCAGTGATCAGGTATTTCAAAGACAAAGGAAATACCCAGGCCTGCCCACTCTAGCTATTCTCTCCCTCCTAAGGTTTGGGATGACTGAGGAACACTTGTTAAGTCCACGTTCCAGAGTCACAGGCTCACTAAACACTGACACCTAATCATAGGACTGTAGAATGCTCCTCCTTCCCCACACACCTCACCACCACATTATAAAAGGCCTATTTGCAGCAATTTCTCTTACCAAGTACATCATATTTGGCTCTCAAGAAAAAAATGACAAGGCATACCAAAAGATGAAAAACACATTTTGAAGAGACAGAACAAGCCTCAGAACTAGACATGGCTGGGATATTGGAATTATCAGACCAGGAATTTAGAGCAACTATGATTAATATGCTAAGGGCTCCAACAGATAAAATAGATAGCATATAAGAGCAGGTGGGCAGTTTTAGAAGAGAGATGAAAATCACAACAAAAAGCCAAAAAGATAAAAAACAATGTATCAAAAATGAAGAATGCCTTTTATGAACTTATAAGTACACCAGACATGGTTGAGGAAAGAATCTATGAGCTTGAAGACATCTCAATAGCAATCTCCAAAACTAAAGACAAAAAACAAACAGAATATCCAAGGATTATGGGACAACTATAAGAGGTGTGATCCATGCCTAATGGGAATACCAGAAGGAGAAAAGGTAACAGAAGAAATATTTGAAATAATAATGATTGATAGTTTCCCCCAAATTAATGTCAGACACAAAATTACAGATTCAGGAAGCCCAATGAACACCAAGCAGGATAAATGCCAATAATAATAATAATAATAATAATATTAACAACAACAACAACAACAACAATAACAACAACTACTATACCTAGGCATATTATTTTATAGCTAAAGAAAAAAATTCCTGAAAGAAGCCAGAGAGGAAAAAATATCTTACCTATAGAGGAACAAAGAAATTACATCCATCGTCCCCTCAGAAATCATTCAGAAAGGAGAAAGTTGAGAGAAATATTTAATATTATGAGAAAGGAAAACCCTCCAACCTAAAATTCTGTACCCTACAAAATTATCATTCAACAGGGAAGCAAATTTAAGACTTTATCAGACAAATAAAAGTGAGAGAATTTGTTGCCAATACACCTGGCTTGCAAGAAATGTTAAAAGAGCTTTTTTTCGTTAGGAGGAAAACAATTCAGGTTAGGGTATCAGACCTATATAAACAAAGGAAAAGCATCAAAAAATGAAGGTAAAATTGAACACAATGTGCATTTTTCTCAGAATTACATCCGTTGCTTATGTTGACACCAAAATTTTAATGATTTTGTCTGCCAATCAACAGGTGTCAGTTGCCTTCTGACAATAGTCCTACCAGCAACTTGCACGATGGGTGGGAGAGAGGTGAGATATTAAATCCAATCAATATTTAACAAAAAATTATTGTGAATCTCCTTATGCCACAACTGCTATTGTTTGCAGAAGATACCACATTTTAATTTAATTTTTTTCATCACCATTTATCCCCCTTATACCCTCTTCCACCTCCACTCGCCCACCTCCCCACAACAATCACCACACTGCAGAGGATACAATTTTAATAAAAGCACAGAGTCCTAGCTTTCACGGAGCTATTCGTCTATATAATTTTAGACTGTATCAAAATTCATCTAACAATGGCCAAAATTGAGGACATAATAGAAGACGTTTTTCTCTGTCCTGTATTGTTTTTGGCTGCAGTTAATTAGAAAGGAGTACAGCTATCCACAGGAAAGGGGAGTAAGAGATCATTTTGTTTAAGCACGCTGGTATACAGCCTATACTGTACACTAAGTTAAAAATATTTCTCTTTCAAGGTAACGGAACTGCACAACATCAAAAATATAACCCGACTGCCTCGAGAGACAAAGAAGCATGCGGTGGCAATTATCTTTCATGATGAAACCTCCAAGACATTTGCCTGCGAGTCAGGTAAGCAATTACAGCCCCGTCGGCAGCTTGAGGAAACTGAGCTGCTTCTGAGGCCCAGATGGATTAAGATACATCGATGAATAGGGTGGCTTATTGTGATGAGAATGCATCCCAGAAGATTTTAGTAAGAAGCTCGGCATAGTGATTCTTACAGGCGTTTTTGGTGCTTCCTTGTTATCTGTCTGTGTCTGGATTTTGCGCCGAGGTGGTCGGAGTACTCTTAAGGTTTCCATCCAAGCTTGGAGAATTAAGTAAACAGTGCCTGGGAGATGTCGTTAGGGCAAGGTTATGACTTGTATTCTGGTTCTTGCCGGTGGCAGCTGCAGGCATTTGGTATGGCCATAATCATGCTGCCTTGCAGAAAGTGTGGCGTGGCTCGGCCTGTCCCAGCCCCTTCAAGGTAGGACTTCGAGCAATTGGTTGCTTTCATGGATTCCCACTGTACAAGTAAATATCTTTTAGGTTGAATTTGAGCATCCCAATTCATAAAGTATCGAGACAGAGGCAGTTCCTACTTTCAACTTGCAGTATTTTTCATTTTGCAATTCCTGTGCTATGTAATATATTAGTTGTCTTGTTATCATTTTTTAAAGATTTTGCATAATGAAATGGTGCAGTCATTTTATAATGGATAGGAGCAAAAAGCAGTCAGACTTTGAAAAATATAAATTTAAAATAATAGCTAAGTGTTTAGGAGAAACTTTATTGAGTACTTTAAAAAAATAAACCCTGCCCTAGCCAACTTGGCTCAGTGATAGAGCGCAGCCTGCAGACTGAAGGGTCCCAGGTTTGATTCCTGTGAAAAGCACGTGCCCAGGTTGTGGGCTTGATCCCCAGTAGAGGGCATGCAGGAGGCAGCCAATCACTGATTCGCATCATTGATGTTTCTGTCTCTCTCACTCCCTCGCCCTTCCTCTCTGAAGTCAATAAAAATATATTTTAAAAATGTAAAATAAATAAAAAATAAACTTTTTAATGTATAGTTAAAGTTTATAGGAATAAATAATACCAGGTTATGTTATTCTAAAACCAATAATGTCACTTTTCCTAGATCAAATTGCTCACACCTCCTCACCTACATGTATTTCAATTTTACTGAACAATTAGCATTTATCAAAGTGTTCCTCTTTCCTTGAATGCCTTATTCCTTCCACTATACTATTCTTCACTCGTCATCTGACTTCATTTCATAATTTAAAATAGACTTTTTGGAGTTGCACAGAAATCTGCTAACTGGTCATAGAAATCCCCATTCTGTACTAGAACCTGTCCCAACCTTGCCAAGATCATATCTTAATATCCACATGTATTTGTCCCTCCTTAAAACTATCTTCAAACTGTCTATAACCACCTCACTTTTTCTGAGTTCTGAAATAATGTCTCATATTAAAACCAATGACAATCAGAAAACTGGTTTTCCAAAAAAGATACAGAATAATTTTCACCACCGGTGATATGTCTCAAGCTTCAATTTTCAGTACTGTTTTCCATTTTGAAATGGTACTGAGCCCTGTTGTGGAGACATAGGCCACACTGGAGTAGATTATTTCAGATAAGAACGATATTGAATTATGGTCTGACATAATCCAGAAATACAGGCTGAGTTGTAACCCACAAGTCTGAAGTTGAAACCTTTTAAAAATTTATTTATTTTATTTTTTGGCAGCAGTGGTAGTTTCATGGTTCATGTAAGACTTTTTGAGAAATGAAGGGCTCTTTGTTCAAAGAGAATGGCCTTAATTTCCAAGATAAGAATTTCTGAAGAGTGAGGTTAAAGCTAGATCCGAATATAAATACAGAAGAATGCTGGTTTAAATTATGATTTACGTGAAAGTATTATTTCTTTGGTTAAAACCACACTTTATGTGCAGCTATAACAGTGTGCTTGAAGCTAGTGACAAATTATGTTTAAGAAACAATGGCATGATTTTTTAAAAAGTCTTCATGGCACATGCCAATGGAATAAAAGAAAGGACTTGGAACACAAAAAGGAATTTGAATATCTTTTTCTTGCAAATTATAAAACTCAGACTATAAAGCAGTCAGGGATGTCAAAATAGCAAGAAGATTCAAGCCCAGATTAGACGGAGTTCCGGCATTTATTTCTAATGCAAACACAGGTAAAAGTGTAGCCTCCTAATGGCTCGTGGGAATGGGAGTTGTTTCAATTATTTTTGCCAAGAAAACTGGCAACTATTATGAAATTAATATGCATACCCTTGACCCAGTGAACCTCTTTGGAGCATATCCCATATAGAAAATTGTACCAGCACATGAGGGTGTAGGTTTACGCACATTATGTGTAACAACAACAAAATTCGAAACCAGTGAGTGTTTATAGAGGAAATAGTTGAACAAACTATGATATATTCTTATCCTAAAATAATATGCAATCACTAAAAGGAATTCTAATTAAACCAATTAACATGAAGATATTTCTATGAAGTTGAGTTCTTCAAACAAAACAACTAGCAATGTATATACTGAATAATCACATTTTGTAAAATAAATGAGAGAGAGAATGGGAGTGTTTTAACAAGCATTACCAGGTAAGGGAAGATGATAATGAGATGGATGGAAAATGAAGATGGGGGGAAAGACAAGCAAAATGGGAGAAGTAAAAAAATAAAATGAACAGAAGAAAATACTCAGCATATAAACTATCCTATTTACATGAGACTGTGCATACATAAATGTGCATATGAATGTATCCAATATTTTTAGTTAGTCATCAGTGAAAAGGTAATTAAAATGACAATGAGATATTAGTATGCACCTATCAGAATGGCTAAAATTTAAAAAAAAATAGTAACACCACCAAATGCTTGTGAGGTTTTGGAGAAACTGGATCACTCATATTTTGCAGGTGGGAATGTAAAATGCTATAGCCATTCTGGAAAATGGTTGGCAGCTTCTTATAAAATTAAACATGTAATTATCATAGAATCCAACAATTGCACTCTTGGACATTTATTTCAGAAAAAAAATAAAACTTATGTATACACACACACACACACACACACACACAAACACACCCCTAAATTGTACAAAAATGTTCACAGTAGCTTTTTTCATAATAATGCCAAACTGGAAAGAACCCTCATGTCCTTCAACTAACTGGGGTGCGCTCATACCATGAAGAACTCCTCAGCAATCAGAAGGAACAAACTATTGATCTATGCAGCACATGAACCTCACCCAACCATCTCCTTTCCTCCCATTTTCAGCGGAGGTTCCTCATGCTTCCTGCCCCTCATCTGAGTACTTCAGCTCTATGCTCCCACTACATCCTGAACTTGGACTTCATGTCCCCTGTTCAAAATCTCTCTACTCTGTCAGATATTAAGCACAATTAGGAGATGACCCTGGAGTTCCCAGCACCACAGTGCTAATAAGAACTTGTTGGCTTGATGAATTCATGAATTAGTAAAATTTATATTTAAGTTTTGTTATAGTTATATATTTATCATTCTCTTTTTACAAAGAAATAGTTGTTGTTTTTCCAAAACAAATTTTAGAGACTAATTGGGTAGCACCATGAGAAAAATTTTTTAAATTTCCAAATAATAGATTATTCTGTGTTTGTGATGGTGGGGGGTGAGAACAAATGATCAGTGCTGCGTGCGCACGTGTGAACGCACGTGCGTGTGCGTGATTTTGTAAGTGTGCATGCAAGCATAAATTGCCATGGCCCACCAAGTCTGTTAGAATGATTCTATGAGTACAACATAGTTGAAGCCCTGGCTGGGTAGCTCAGTTGGTTAGGGCATCGTTCAGGTATACCAAGGTTGCATATACAATAATATATGCCCTAGTCAGGGCATATGCAATAATGAACCTATGAATGCATAAGTAACAAATTCTCTCTCTCTCTTTCTCTCTCCCCTGAAAAATCAATAACTAAAAATTAAAAAAATAAAACATAGTTGAATACAAGTGAGAAGTTCTGCATTTTTGGCTATTCTTTCAAAAGAGAGCCCTGGACTTTTGTTTGGATTTTTGGGTTTTGGGTTTGGGTTTTTTGGGGTACTTTTTAAGTATGTTCAATCTCAAATTAATGTCTAGTAAAAGAAGGAGCCCATGGCTTAGATGTTGGAAACTCAGAGTTTGGGTAATAGAGACTTCTTACATTCATTAAGGAAAGTGAACAAAGAGCTCAAGAGTGTCTGTCTTTGTCATTATATGAAACCCAAAAACTTATCTCCAAATAAGAGGGCAAGAAGTATTTGAAATCTGAGCAACCTGGTTAATTTCCTAAAAAATTATTTGAAACATTGAATTTATTCTCTAATGAAAATATTATTATACTTTCTTCCATTTGAAATCTGTAATGGCAAAGTTATAGAATTAATAAACTCCCCACATTAAATATGAAAAATACTTGGGGAGAAACCCAAATCTTAATATACTTATACATTCATAATTATCTTTAAGTCTTGCATAAATACTGCTTTGTACCTGAAATACCTGGGTATAAGTGTATCACATTTCAGTTTATTGTTATTATATTTCATAAATTCTATATCTTCATTTCTGAGAGAACATTATTTTCTAAATAACCTCACTTCCCCATTAATTGTGTGTTAGTCAATAAGTTATTTTCTATTTTATAATATTATTACTAGTTGTTATAAGAAAGCATTTTCCCACCAGAGGATCCTCTAAGGCAGTGGTTCTCAACCTTCTGGCCCTTTAAATACAGTTTCTCATATTGTGACCCAACCATAAAATTATTTTCGTTGCTACTTCATAACTGTAATGTTGCTACTCTTTTGAATCCTAATGTAAATATCTGATATGCAGGATGGTCTTAGGCGACCCCTGTGAAAGGGTCGTTCAACCGCCAAAGGGGTCGTGACCCACAGGTTGAGAACCGCTGCTCTAAGGTTTTCTGCCTCTCAGGCTTCACATAATTTTTCCAACTACAAATAAGTCCAAAAAAGATTTAGCCAAAAATTCGTCCTGAATTCAAAATGAAAGGTAATAGGCATGCACTTAAG